TTTCGGACAATATCGACAACAACCTTCCCAAACAAGTGAAATGTGTGAAATGCAGACTTTCGTGTTCTCGATTTGACGTCACATTACCCGCTAGAACCATTCTTCTTTAAACTCGGTCGTGAGCCAAGATGGCGGCCGATTTTCCGTATTTTGACTGGGCACAGAAAATTGAAGATTTGAGCAAATAAAAAAAAAAAATTTGCACAGAAATACTCCAAAAAATACGCTTATTTCGTTAAGCGAAAAAAAAAATTCTGGGTTTAGGTGTACTTTAAAATAGATTCTCGGAGGTTAGACTCGGCGAGGTATCACTCGAGAATTTTTAAACAGCCAAATATTCCAGCTAGTCTGCATATCTTAGTTACTGCTGATAAATAGCTTTGTTTTTTTTTTTTTGCAGTCTTGGATTATACTTCTTCTATGCCATAGCAAAGGTTTACCGAAGAATGATTAGTGGTCTTCGAGAAGAGCTTTCCATGGTAATATTTCCCATTTAGGCGTATGTTTCTCTATCTTGCAAAAAAGAATTAAGATTCTTTAAGATTGTGAAGAGTACAAAACCTGAAATTCAGTCCCTTCTAGACACTGTATATGAGCATTTTCTGCAAATGAAAACTCTTCGAATTGCAGAAGGCGAAATTACACTCTAATTTGTGGAGAAGTTTCGATGAAATATTCACAAATGTCTCGCTTGGTTTTAATGGAATATTTTGCAGAAATGCAAGTTAAATTTTCGACAAACACCCGCTGTCGAATAGCATTTTATCACTTACTATCCAGAGATACGACCTTAATTATGACTCCAGGCTGGAAAAACAGTTCTCACTGGCACCAAAACCATGAGCAAGTTACGAGGTGATATCTATTTCAAAGAAACACTCGGTTCTATTTGTTACATAGGAATATTCTTTTTATCACGAAATCCGCGTATCTCTACTAAAACGGGACCGAAGCTCTGCGTGACCTCGCGCTAGTTTGCTGACGAGAGTGACGGGAGATAAAAATAATAACTGCTAATGTGGGATAAATTGGCCACAGTAGTGACGCTTTTATTTCACCCGACATCAAGAACATTGATATTATAAACATCACGGAGTCTCTTAAGCAAAGGTGGGGTTAAATATCGGCAAAGAGCCAAATACGTATAAAAAGGCAACGAAAGGCCTGAAGAGAAGGCCGGAGCTTGGGGAGGGGGCGGGAAATTTCTTCTACAGTATCGAAAATCTGTGTTCGGATGTTAACACGGTGGAAATGAAGGCGAGAAGCACCAGGAGAGAAACTGACCTTGCCTATAGCCTCGGTGCAATTTCATCTGACCTCATTTGATTGGCTTAAGATCTGTAATTGACAGCGCTCCTTGCCCCATGCAAATACTTAACTATGTATATGACGGGCCTTGAGATAAAATCACATTACGCTTATGTCATAATGTTGGCCTTTTTGATCAGTTGAACTTGCTAAAGATTCTTATTACTCCGTGCTAAAGGAATCCAGGGACAAGAAGTATCTTCTACAGTTGTTCACGAGCCAATCGGAAGAGAAGAGCTGAAGAACAGTGATGACGTCGCTTTGACATCGTTTTCAAGAAGATTGGACGCATAAAAAATCATGTGTAGATGACACTTGCAATATTTTTGTAATACCTGTTTTTTATTGTTTTTTTGTTCAACGCAAATTAAAAATAGCACCAATGAACTTTTTGGATCCTTGTAAAGGTCAAGGTTTGGAATGAGGCACCTCGATTGCAGGTGTATCATGTAATCAGATGAATGTAATTTGAAATAAAATAGGTTATTGGTTATAGAAATTCTAACTGTCAATTTTTCTCAGTCGTAAGAGATTAACGAATGACTTCATATTATTCCCAAAATATGCGCAAACAAGAAAGATAATAATCCCTTCCCAGCCTCAGGTGATGGAATTTCTTTTTGTACCTGATCTGCCTTCATTTACTCGGTTTTTTATAGGTGGAGTTCAGGTCGATGATTCTTTTATACTTCGATAAACATTTTCAAAAGTTGTCAGTGGTCACCTATTTCCTGTTTACTTTATTGTTCCATCTTCATCACTAGTATTTGTTGCGAGGCATATTTTTCCCTTTTGGAAGTTATATTGCTAGTTGTGAAACCGAAATTTCTTTTTTTATATTTTTAAATAATCTCCAAAAAAAATAAGGCTTACTACCTGAGGGTTTAAATTGTGTGTGGTTTTAAATCAATGAGTTTTTCATCCTGAACATGAATGAAATTAGCTGTACGTATTCATGAAAAGGTTTTCTGGTGTTGATTCCCTGAGATTGAGGGCAGCTGTAAAGGAAAGTTAGTTGAACATTCGCCCTTTTTATGAGTTCTGTCTGTCTGTCTGTCTGTCGGTCTGTCTGTCTGTTAGTCTGTGTCTGTCTGTCTGTCTGTCTGTCGGTCTGTCTCTGTTAGTCTGTGTCTGTCTATCTCTTTCTGTCTGTTTATGTCTGTCGGTTTGTCTGTGTCTGTCTGTCTGTCTTTCAGTCTATCTGTCATTGTCTGTCTGTCTGTCTGTCTGTCTTATTGTCTTTGTGTCTGTCTGTCTGTCTTATTGTCTTTGTGTCTGTCTGTCTGTCTTATTGTCTGTCTGTCTTGGGTTAAAATGATTTTGACTTGCCATCTAGTTTATACCTCTTCTTCTTGACTCTGCTTCACACACTACACTTTACAACGATTTTCTTAGCTTTGTAAATACCAAAAGTATGTCCTCTTGTTACGGTTTCCTCTTAATCGATACCAACTCGGATCGTTCCGAACTTTGGACCTAAGATAGGATTAGCAATCTTCGTACAGCAGACGAACTTAATACAAACTATCGGAGAGCACGGATCGTCGAAGTTCTCATAGCCGGCCCGAATTTCTTCCCGAAGCCAGTTCGTTAATCGATTAAAGTCGTCGGGACTGAAAAACAGCTGTACAACCAACGTAATTGCTCCGGCGTTAATAGGCGTGTCATGCGCTTTTAATACCTCATGTAAAAGTTCGGATCTGTTCCCGAAGCCACCGAGGAGCACGATCGAGGCTGAGGCATCCGTACGGATGTAACCATTTCTGTCGAATCCACCTTTTTCCAGAATACCATCTTTGCCGAACAACTGAAACATGACATTCGCCATGTATCTGTTGATTGGAAAGTTTATGGTGGCTGTACTGAAAGTGGCAGCTATTGTAGGCTCTGGGATCTCGTCTCGTTTCAGCTCCGCCTCATCTATGGATTGTTTTTGGATATCTTCATGTGCTGTGGAGTTCTTTATGATTTTGACGACTGGTCTCCGGTAAAAGTTCAACAAAACTGGAAAAGAAAAAAAGCCTTCAAACTGCCACAGTTGTTTTTTTTTTTTGTTTTTTTTTTATTTATTTATGGATTCGTACAAGTACAAGTACAACTGCATAACAATAGGACATAAGTCCCCTACTTGGTTAATACACCCACTCCCAGCCCCGTAAAAAAAAAAAAAAAAACATCCCGGAAAGAAATATCCCGAAAAAAGATCCCTTCCCTGATCTGACTAACTACAATTCAGATAATTTAAATCGCACAGAAACATTCTAAAATATACAAATATACAACTTAACTTAACAAGTACAGACAGAAGAAGTATTTACACGACGACACTTCGGACAAATTAATTTGAAAGAACGAAAATTGTCACCATCAAAAGCATTCTAAAGGATCTCCGCTATTTTTGGGAATGGTTATTATTTATCGCGGGGGGTAGGGGTTCGGAGGATTTTGGTAGTATCAAAATGAAATTGACCTAATCTTCCCCTCCCCCATGGCTATGTAGCATTCGTATGATTCTCCCTTATTGGCGGACAATTTTCTTTCCCCTCCCTCTTTATACTTTGTTGCTGACGACTGATCCCAATCCGTACCCCCTGAAAACCGTGTCCTCCCTTCAGGTGATAGATAATGGCTTGTCCCTAGATAAAAAAGTGAATTGGCCCTGAGCCGTGAGATTATAACGCTGAATGCAGGCTGATAGATTTATTTGGACAATATGAAAGTTAGCCTTACTCCAGCCTTTACTTATTCCTTCTTGGAAATAACAGGAGTTCTGCTTAAAAACCAATTTTTTTTTAAAAATTAACAAAACTAGCTACAAAAATCAAGTGACATTTATTCTTGTATTCGAAAACGCAAAGAGTTGCCGACTTCAGTTTTGCAAAAGATTATACTCCGAAAAAAAAAAAAACCTAATAGAAAAGTGATTATTATGTAGTTCCTGTAATCTATACCATTTCTTTCCGTTTCTTACAAAATTGTGGTAAAGATATAACTTTATGTTTTCTGTTCACTCCCTTCCGATATCCTTTTCCTTATCTGATTTACGATTTCAAGCGTACGAGAAAGGGTACGACTCATTCGCTTTTGAAAGACAGGCTTTTATCATGATTTTGATACTGTGAAATCAATTTCCGTGGCTGTAATTCGAAGCTTGTAGCATTCAAGTCGATTGTACTCGACGACTACCGAAGCTTTAGGGGAAAAAAGCAGTTTGAATACTGTTTCAGCCGAAATCGTTGATTTGTGAATTATAGAGGTGTGCTAAAGGTGTTCATTGATTTATTCCGGGCAGTCTAACGCCTGTTTTCACCCACTGCCTCTGCAATTGCTACTACCCCAGATTGATCTGCAGTTGCATAATCGAGAAGACTGAAAGAAAAAATTCCATGCCCCATGTATTTCCTAGTATAAGCAATGTCCTGCACACTTGTATATAATCATAAAAGAACAATTGATTATGAATTATCAACTTACATCTAAAAGTGCTCTTCGCTGTTTCGCTGGCGGAATATGCTTGTTGCGGATAAAATGCAGTTACAATTCCCAGTGTGATTAGGAAAAGGACTGATTTTTCCATTGCTTTCGGTCAAAAGGTGAAGATACCTTTTCAAGCCGTATTCTTAGAGCCATACAAAAATATTCAAGTCGAGGGTAGTCTTTGGTTTCCTAGGATACTAACAGTTTCTTGCAAAAATTCCTATCAGTTTAATTTTCTTCTTGTTGTGCACACAAGTGCCAGGTTTTCTGTTATTGGGTCCTATTTGCAAGATTGTTCAATAAAAGACTTTCCGAAAACATTTGGAAAAGTGAGGAATAAGTTTTTAACAACTTTTGATCCATTAGTTTTTTTAAATGATTACTTTTTAAGTTTAAAATGATCTGTACAGCTAGAAGAGATGTTTTTCATCGTGTTAGATCAGTTGTGACGGTGAAATGCTCGCTGAATGTAAACAGATATGTCTTATTCTTTCTCTTCAGTCTTAACACCTAATTTGTTTCCAACAGATTTCATACCCTAATAAACAAATCGTCCTATTTTAGAAATTTGAGTCATGTGTACGTTGCAATTGCATAACACGTAATCTCGTAATTCAAATAAATTTTATCATGCATGTTTGATGACCACTTCGTCTCGAGTCTCTGTTCTCAAGGTCAAAGAGAGTGTTTCTGTTGTAACTCTTCAAACTTTGGAGTGGTTTGACACTGTATTTTTTTTTATTTTACAAGCAATTTTATCTTCTAAAATGTTACAGTTTTGCTTAGCTTACAGCGAGTAAATCGTTTTAAATATATCTTCTTCTAGAGACATGGAATGTGTCAGATACGGAATACTTTTTAAGTTAGTCATTCTAGAGAACGAATTTGCAATCATGATTTCAAACTTGCGAACTCCGACTTCCCTTCCCTTTCGGGCAGGAATTCGAAAAAGTCAAAGAAAATTTGTCATGATTGAAAGATATGAGAGAATTGATTTCTAATTTATTGAAACAGAGACAGTGAAAGAGGTCAGTCTTATGTTACGAGCCTGCTCAATGACGCTTACGTGATGTCTTCCGGATATCGATGAGTCACTTGTTTTAGAAGACGCTCTTGACCTCCGCTGTGCATTTCTTGTAATTTTCCTGAGCGACCGGAAGAGAATGCGGTACGTGTCCTTAAACTTCCGGTTCCCGAGAGAGTAGATGAAAGGGTTTAGGGCCGAGTTGAGGTATCCCAGCATCAGTAGCACAATGGATAGTTCCCTTGGGGATTTCAAAAAACACGTTTTACAAAGGCCAAAGACAGTGCTAGTTACACTGTAAGGAAGCCAGCAGATAAACAACGCACAAACGATCGAAGCAATTGTCTTAGTTCCTCTGAGATTTCGTTTAAAGCGTCTTTGATCGCGTGAGGTAGGGTGTCGGGTTATATGGCTTGGAAAAGAGTTTGTACCCCCACCCAACTCGTGGCATTGTTTTACGTTCTGTGCGATGTTATAAATCTTAAAATAAATAACGCCGATGATCAGCAATGGTAGTATGAAGTGAAGGATGTTGGTCACAACTGAATAGGTAACGGTGATGTTAAAATTGCAGTAACCTCCAACTACGTAATGAGGCGTGCGTCGCCACCCCATGACAGGCAGTAAGCAGAATGCCAGGGAGTAGCACCACAGGAATCCCACCACAAAACGAGAGGATCGGATGGATAAGAAAATCGATTTGCGAAACCTTCTCAGCGGATCACTCAGGGTCTTGTATCGATCAATTGTGAGGACCAGAAGTGTTAGTATCGACGTAGGAACGCTGAATAAATACGTGGTTGTCCACACAATACAGAGAATTTCGCCATGTTTCCAAGCGCTGTTCAGGAGTAGGCTTTCGGCGTCAAACGGCATCGCGAAGGCGGCGGTTAACAGATCACAGAAGGCCAACGAAAAGATGAAAGACATGGCCGGTGAAGAACGAAGACTTTTATTCAGGCAAATTGCCAGACACACGAGGCTGTTGCCGAGAAGGGAAATGACGATAATCAGTGAATAACAAGCGACGGAGATACTCACGAATACAGGGTTCCATGGAGAACCAACGTTATCCTTGCCCAAAGAAGTGTTGTTCATCCTGCCTTTTGTGCTTCAGTCAAAGTGAACTCTTCAAACTAAAGCAGTGATATGAAATGAATAAAAATTGAAGGCAAGTTTTATCGCCTCATAGATTTTAAGGCTGTTAATGGAAACTAGAAAGACAAAACATGTACGCACTTTTCATGCAAACAAAGCGTGCGGGATGAAAACATGTTTGTTTTGACACTGGTTTTAAAACCGATGAAATGAACTCTTAACTTGAAAAGGCAAAAAAAGAGCATTTAGTGAAGAAAGCTTGTTAAAAAGTTTTTTTTTTCACATAATAGAGATAAATGGAAATTATAACCTTAAGATAGTAACTGACTCAGAAAAGTGTTACATTCGCCAATTTGGATTGTAACTCTTTTTGGGAGAAAAGAAGGAAATGGCCTCTGTTGGCAACTATAAATGAAGCGAAAATTAATTCCAGGCAGGAAGTATCATTCACCCTAGAGTTACAGTCTTAAAAAGACCTTCATTCGCATGAAATAAAAGCAGTATTGAGGAAATTAGTTTAAATTACTTTTTCACTTTAAAGGTACACATACAGAAAAAGGCATTTACGGGAAATCAAGATTAAGAGTAGATTGATCAAAATTCCGATTACTCCGATTATTCGGTATAACAACATGACGACGTAAATTTTACCTCATATTAGTTCAGTGAAGCCAGGTCTTGTCATTATTAGATTTTTTTAAACACTTTTCCTTAAAAAAAAGCATCCATCAAACATTGCATCTTATATCCGGAAAAGTATTAGCTCTAATATTTCTTGGAATTGACCCAACCAAAAAACACACCAAAACATGACCAAACGTTGTTTCGTCAGGGGGGCGCTTTATCGGCAGGTAATGGATAGGTGAAGATTTTAAATGGTTAATTGTACTCAAAGCTCCAAATTGTTTGCAATTGACTCAAAATGCACGACTTATTATTTTATTACTTTGTCAGTTTATAAATGACTGACGGGAAGTGGTATGAATTCATAAAGTCGCGTACTTTCTGAAGCATTTTATGTGAGTACGTGTTGTCCATATCTTTATTTTTATATTGAAGTAATATTTGTTCTCAAGTAATGCCAACGAAGGTAAATAACACAACTCTCACTAAACTAATTCCAAAAATCCTCTTTCCTTTCAAGGGCTTTTCAACTAATCGCTTTTGTTATGGTGGAACAAAATCGCCACTTTTTCGGAACTGTCTTTGCATTTTCTCTAAAATCTTAAAGGTTTTCAAGGTGCGAGTCATCAACCGGATTTATCCGTTTTTATCTTTACCCTAAAAGACATCAATTCAACCTTATGAATTCAATTATATTTACCAATATTTAGGGGTCTTTGGGGGCAAAAAATATTTTCTAATATCACATGAAGTGAGCTGTAAGATTCGATCGGGACTGAAAAATGGCCATCCAAAATCAACGAGTTTGCAGTTTTCAAATGTATATTGGTCTGATTTGTTGGATATGATATGATAATAACTGATTGGTGACCTTGAATAACATTTACCTTTCTTTTATTTTTATTGTATCAAGTCGAATATTCATATTTTTTAAAGAAGGAATGGATGAAATTATTTCAAGGTTTAATTTCCCCTGAGATAAAACATATTTCTAATAAATTGGCCTTGTTTGGATTATTGCTAAAGGCATACGACTTCCACTGAAGACCAAATATCGTGGTCTCTTTATAAATACTGGTCTATGCCTCAGACGTTTCTTACATTATTTTCTCTTGACTGAACAACGAAACACTAAACTTTTTCGAAACACTATTTACTTCTTATAGGCGAAGAGAGATTGCAAAAACCTACCTCTTTTTGCGGAGAGACCCGGACTCGATACCCAAAGTGTTTCAATTCAAATCATAGCAAATATGATCAGCTAAGAATTGCTTGTGGCATTTGATACATTAAATGGTAAAAAGATAGCCCTGTGTGGAAATCCACCGGGAATCACATTCATTGACATATTTCGAGTTCTTCGAGGGGCCCTATCAAATGTTTCCGACAGCCACCATTTTGCGGAAATCTTCAAATAGTTTACTTCTTGTGATTTTTCTTTCTCAATTTTGGAGATAAGAGGAGGAAACATGACCGCGTTTTAGTAAACTTTAATACTTTTTCTTTTTATTTCTTGATTTATTTAACAACGACTGCTGTTGTTACACTTTCAAATTGATATTGCAAAATTCTTTTTGGCAGATGATAATTCCCACGTATGAAATTTGTTCGAACAAACAAAGAAACAAACAGATAAAGACCCAGCTTCACGACAGTAGACCAGAGAGCCTTCTGGTAAGAAATCACAACGATATTTAAGCGAGCAACCCTCTTTATAGGAGCCATTGCAAAATAATCATTTCAACTGTAATTAATGGTTACTTTCGACTCAAACATGGATAGCTTTCTCAGCCGAACTTAAACGTACGTGACCCTATGGCAGAAAATAACAATTAAAATGTCCACGCATCCTTTACATCTCTTTGATTACATCAAATAGAGCAGTTGCACCCTTAAAAAAGTAAAAACTATCACCTTTCGGCCTTAAGTTAATAACTTAATATTGACAATTGGTGGTTTCATGAATGACCTCATAGAATCAAATGAAAAAAGGAATATGGCCTAAAATTAAGAAATCTTTCGAATAAAAACTTTACCCTCTTTAAAAATTAAATGTATGAAGAACTGCTCATGAACACCGAGGGTAATAGGTCCTTATCAAGCTTGTAACCAGGTAAAGAGTAAGGTTAAGACCAAAGGTAAAAACTTTCTCTCTCAATTTATTTTAACTGATATTAAAATAGACCGGTAGCTCTGGTGTCGAGGAAAAAGGAACCTTAGAAAATTACGTATTATGTCGATGTAGATATAAATCATTTTATTCTGCTCCTTGGCTTGCAGAGTGATGTGATCGATGAAGTTTAAGTTCATTTTAACCATTGTCCTTGTATGGAGTTAAGTGACGGTTTTTATCAGTTTGGGCGAATAGAGATCACAGAGACAACCAAGAGTCTAAACCTTTAGATTTTTTTTATAAAAATACTGACTAGTTTAGGATCTGTGATATGCACATAATATAAAATGCTATAGGAATGAATATTATAAAAATATTTACAAGTTGCTTGCCATAGTGGGAATAAAGGCATCTTGCAAAACGGTTCGTGCGAGTGAATTACATCGGAACGCAACTGTGAAACTTTGTTTAACAATTTCAGGTTTCGTGCAGTAGTAGTAATTATCAGAAAAATGATTCAAGGCTTCCCTTTCCCATAAAATATTCAAGGCAGACGTCAACAGCCCATTTCTTAGTTGTTTGGAGGATGATGTTTATTAGCACAAGTCAGCAAACCAATCAGAGTCTTCGGATCCCCAAGATTGCTGAAGATGTATAAACGTGTACCATTTTGAACAATAGGAGATAATTATTTGGCCCTTTTTGTGGAGTTCGATTCATTTATTCATTCAAATTTTAATTTAGAGAGACGTTATAATAAAACATGGGAAGGTCTATCTTCCTCGAAATAAGCGTTCTGTTTCCGCAATGGTTTTGTCCCATTCATTTGAAACTCACGTCGTAATTCATATACGGGATTTCCTTATTGTGTTCATTCCCCTCTCAGCGTTTATTCAATCACACCTGAAAACCTGTATTTGCTCAGTTAATAGACCAGTCATCTCTATTTAAATGCTCTAAAGATCGTCTAAATAAAAAGGTTTTTTCATCCTTTTTTTTCGTCGTAAGCTAAAAAACTACGACCGTCTCAAAGGTCCGTGACGAAAATGAAGACTTTAACCAGTCTAGTGTTGGTTATAATTTTCGCCCTATTTGTTATTGGTAGGTTTATTTATAGATTATTATTATTATTTTTAGATTTCAATCTAATATTTTAAACTGTATACATCTAAAATCCTGCAGCTATTTGTATCAACTTACTCAACTTGAGCGTCATTCGTTTTTGGTTGTAACTCTCTGATCTAAAAACCCATGTCGATAGACAGGCACCCATCGTGTTCAAAATCCGCCTTCGTAACAAACTTATTGTATTAATTGTTTCAAATGAAGATTGGTAGAAAAAATTTAAAAGTTTTTAACTGAGATAAAAAACTAGGATTCAAAGCTTAAACAATCGGTTGTCGGCTCGGTAAACGTTTCAGACTTGGAGGCGTTTAGAAAGTTATTTGATCTAAATTATTAACAATTTTAAGTCCATTCATACGTGCCCTTTAACCAAAGAAATCTGAAAATTCACTTTTCATTCAAGAGATTCCTAAAAAGGTTTTGGCTTTACTTAATTTCATACGTGAGCCAAGATCTTTACCTTTTATTCTGATGTCAGTGTGGATTCAGCTGCGCCGATGAAGAATTGTTAAGTGCCACAAGTGAACATTTTAACAGTGAATGCATTTCCATGTCATCAGCGTCGAGAAAGAATCGGCTTTCTATAAATTTAGACGAAGTAGTAGCTTGTTTTGCTACTAGATACCAATTTTGGTCCAGTTATACCAAACAATACGTTAAGGCTTCAGGAGTGTGATACTCAATTTTCCAGAAATTACAATATTTCTGTGCATAACATTGTGAATTGGCTGTGAAGTATTTCCGATCACGAATTAAGAAAGGAAGACATCTCGTAATGCATGAAGAAAAAGCGTGAGTTGTGAAGAACATAAACGCGTAAGTCCCCTGACCACCAAGGAAATATGTAAAGATAACATTTGTTATGATAAAATTTGTGTTTTGAGATTCTAGTGAGTAGCATAACTTCTCATTGAACTAGAGCGAATTCGTATAACCCGTTCGTTATATGCTAGTGAGTTTTCACTAAATACTAATGAGAAAAACAATTAAGAACAGTTGTGAACATTTATTCAATGAACCAACGCTACAGAGGGTAATAATTTTCGTGGGGTAATAATGACTGTAAAAACACCAAAAAAGGTAGGTACATTCAAAATCAGTTGACTTATGCGTGCACATTCACGACCTTTTGGCTCCACAGAATATTCTTTGCCCGTTCTTGGCCAGTTATAAAAACCAGTTGTTTTGAACAGTCCAATATATTTCAACGAGCGTCCGGTATTCTCGAGAACTGTTTCACCAACGAAAGATTCCAGTGTCCACAACTGTTCTGAATCGTTCTTCTCATTAGCATTTAGTGAAAACTCAGCAGCCTATAACTAACGGATCATACGAATTCGCTCTATTGTCTTCATATGAACTTAAAATTCAATTGCGGACTCCGACATTTCTAAATTCTTGAAAAATAAGGAATTAAACAGGGAGGCATTGTCAACCTAAGTAAATGACATTACTGTTAATAAAGTATAGCTTTGTAATCAACGTAGTTGGAAAAGCGAAAAAAAAAAGCGTGGCCTTTTGCGAGCTGTACGTTGTTAATGAACGACTTTATTCTCCAAGTTTGTAGCAACTTAGATAAAATACACAAAGTTTAGCAGAGGGTTTCTTTCATTTTTTCCCTATACCAGGATATACTAAAGCGCGGCCAGATTTCTGCAACCTAGACGCCGAAGGTGGTCATTGTATGGCATACCTAAGGAGATATTACTTCGACAAAAATGCTGGCGCCTGCAAAGAATTTATCTATGGTGGCTGTGAAGGTAACAGTAACAACTTTGAGTCACTGGCAGATTGTCAAAACACTTGTGGTGTGAAGGAAAGTCTGCGCTGAAGATGAAGAAAGCCAAGCTTCATCGTGTAAAGTTCTTTCTTCATCGGACCTTCGATGCCATTATATTCAGTTTACAGACATATATGAACTGTAGAACCAAGATTAAGAAAATAGTGAATTTACCACAAGATGGTAAACTAAGTTGAAGACTCAGGTAGTGTCGAGCGAACGAAGTTAAGCCTTCTCTGAATAGATAAATAAAAGTTTGAATTCTTGTGGTAAACCTGCTCATAATTGCGAGATTATAATTATTTTCTGTTATTCATTTAGGCATTTATGGAAATGGAAAGAATCACAGATAGGCATGTGCTTACTATTTTTTGCCTGCTTAGCATGGAAATTGACGTATAGCTTTTAACTGAGTAAGAGTGTAAAATAGGAAAGGAAATATAAAGACTTATGAATTTTCCGCTCCATCTCTTCTCGTCCTAGTCTCAATCTCGTCTCTTAATCGTGTCATCTTCGTTTAAACCTCATAACATCGTAGTCTCGTTCGTACCTCGACCACAGCCTTTCTTCCTTTCGCATTGTCCTCCTCTTCTATTTTCCTCCTTCTCGGCGTGGCTTCGCCTCGCTCTCGCCGTGGTCGCTTGCTGCCTCCGTCCCTCATCTTCATTGGGAGATTAGGAGGAGTGAAAAGCGTAGCAGTGCTACTGCTCCCCTTTATGATAAGGCATCAAAGTTGATCACACAGAATGAGTGACAGGCTTGTTTTCGGGTACAGATTTCATCATCCACACCAATATGAGACAAAGGGACTCAGTTAATCGTGAATTTTATTCATTCTGGCGTGATATCTTTGTACAGCATGACATTGATTTTTTTAATTAATAAATTATACTTCCGACTATCATAGCTTAAACCCTCATCGTGCGACTGAACATTCTTACTAGTGATATTATTAAACTGCGAGGTTTCTTGTCATTGTTTGTTCTGTAGTTATTTTTATATTATCTGAAATTTCTGTGTTCAAGGAGAAACTGAAGGAAGGATTTATTTGCGGTCCAGACATTTCACCACGGTGGAGTCGATTTCCAGGTAATCCAGCAACCAGTCGCACTCTGGGCTGCAGCAAGAGTTAAAATCACGGACTAAAATAAAGAATGGATTCATCAACATCAGTATTTCTTGGCTAGAAGAAATTGAGGATTCTGATTGACTCACGTGAGTATCTCAATGTCCTGTGATGCATGGTTTTGGGCGTCAAAGATTTGTCTTCTCCCAAAATTTTTTGCTAAATTTCTCATAGAGCTACATACTAAAATTTTTATCTTTTTTACTTTTTAAATGGTTTCTGGTGTAGTTTTTGTTACAGGTCGTTAGGCCTTACATGATTCGTCTTCACACGGCAATAATAATAATAATAATAATAATAATAATAATAAAAATAATAAGGACATCTTACCATAACCATTACGTTGCCTTTCGAAGTCAAATTCTACGAACGAATTAGAAGAGGAAATGATTACCCAAGGCTATTGATTAAAACATGCATGCTTGCGACAGGTCCAGTGGGAATCAAATCTGGAATATATATGACATACAGTGTAGTTTTAACTGAAGTTTGCTTTCTGCATAAATCCTTCCTTGGTTTTGTAGTTAAACTAAATATTTTGCCAGGTTATCAATCGATTAGTGGCGGTATTTCAGATTTCTGGATGTTTCAGTCACCGACTGAATACCTTCATAACTGTTCCGTCAATAATTGCATAAAAATATACAAACGTAAGATAAAAATCTTTCTATTCTAACAAGGAAAAAAATGAAACGGAATCATTTGGTTAAATGAATGGCCCTCTAGCTATCACAATTCTAACAGGACTTGTCCAACCAATGGCGAGCACTTATAAATCAAAATTCATAGCTCATTGCAACTGAAAAAGGTCCTATTTACCTTGCTTTTTAAACTCTCGTGCGAGCAAGTTCGTGGCGCCTGCAATCAAAACATGAAAATGGTCAAGAAACAGGAGAGCAGATACCATGTTAACGTAATACAAACAGGATACGTACTGAAATCAAATGCAGCAATTTAGTGTTAGTACCAACCGAAGGGCAGCGCCATTTTATACCCTCAGGGGTAGGGCGGAATGTGAAGGATAAGCCTTTCCAATGAGAAAGAAACCCCAGTTATCATGGTCACGAGTTGATGCAGTCTAGGCAAACAGATTTTGAGTCAAAAGCGCAGAGAACTCTTTTGTGTTCTCGTCGTTTTGTGATGTAATTAAAGTGAAATACTAACGTTTCTTGGTCGTTGTACTACATGGAACGGATTTCAAGTTGATGTGATAATGTTTCAAAAGTCCGAGCTCTTCGGAACAAGGCATTTCATTACGAGTTTCTGAAAAAAAAAGGGAAGAAACATGCATTTAGATATTTTGAATAGAACTTGGCACAGTCTTCTAGCTAAGAACTTAAAAGTGGAACCAATCTTTAAAAAATTTAAAACTCCTAAATGAAAGGAAACCTTCTAGTTACCGCTAGGGGGCACAACTTGTGAATTAGTAACCTTTACCTTAGACTTGTTTTTTAGTCTTTCGTGGACAACGATGTCAAACAAAAAGTTTATTTGTTCAACTTACCACACCTTAATAATTCTCATATGCTTCTTTTGTCGAAAACAAGTTAATTCGAATCATTTCAAATTTCTTGACAATTTGAAACCAAGTTCTCAAATAATTTCCAAAATATTGAAATAAATAGGAAAGCATTAATGCGTTAAAATCTTTACGTACCAAGCTCGTCTTCCTTTTCTTGTATATTATCTCCTGTAATAAAAAAGGGAAAATCGGATGTGTCAGAGCGTTTCTTTGGCCATTCAGATTTGCATTTGAAGTGCACATAACAAATAAATAGAGAAATAATCAAGAAAATTTTTTTGTAATTTCTCTTCTCTTAATGACATACGCTTAATTAGCCTTGTGAACCGTAAAGGTGTCAGTGTGAAAGAATCTTTAATGTGGCCCCCCTAATGTACACCCCGTCGACTTTTTTCATGGCCGAAGCTCGTTAACAAGGTGGATCTTAGTTTTCCTTAAATCAAGTGCGGTTCCTCTGCTATTTCTCTCTCTCTGTCACTCTGAGAAATAACTTTTATTCTTCAAGAAACATAATTGTTGAAGGAAATTTAGATAACAGTCAAAGCTGAAAGAACCACTTGGAACCCCTTGGGCTTATATTCTGAAGAAAAAAAAGAACTTAATGGTGATATCCAAGGGAGTCTTTCGTCTAATGCGTCTGGATAATTTTTCACAATAACTTTTCCTTCTCCCTCTAAACTAAAACGAAATTGATAAGAAATGATAGACAAAATAAAACAAACTGAGGAGTAAATTAATTCACTTTATCACTGAATTATGAAAAAATAAGCAAAAATGACTGAGTAAATACTGGTAGGTAAATTCTGTCATGGTACTAACGTGCTTCTTGCATCCATTCACTCTTTATCAAATCTAAGGAAGATAACTACTTTTAGAATCAAAGTTACAGGATTAGAGCGGACATTAAAGCTGTGTTAATATTGCAGTCATATTCGTTGCTTTTAACTTATTGCGAGAACTTATTATTGGTGATATGTTACAGACTTTTCTTTGATGTTAGCTTTGTCATGCTTTTCTTTCTTGCATATAAAAGAAGTATCTGTGAGGGCGCAACTTATATCTACGGTTTTTTAATGATTTTATTAAATATATATGAATTGCAGCAATCATTTAGTAACCCACATTCACACTCAGTTAGAGAAAATCCGTATGTTAAATTTTAGACTCGCATTTTCTTAAGAGATGTAGGCTCCTTAAAGGGATCTGAGTCTTAATTTAAAGTAACTTTTGAGAGAAGAACTTCCTAATCATTAATTGAATCCGAACGTTTTTTTCTGAATAAGGCTTCAAAGCTTTTTTACCGCCAAAAAACCTTTCTAGAGTTTATTTTGAGTTACGTTAACGATTTTGTTGCGAAATTTGTAACAGGTGCATTGATAACCGGGTTGTGCAATTTCATAAACCTTTTATAATTGTAAAAAGTACGAAGATGAATTAAGGTGCCTTCTAAATTTTGTCGCTAGATTTCTACGGAGTCATAAACCGTGACATGTTAGGAAATTGAAAGATGCTTTGGCGGAAGACGAGCTGGAGAAAATTTGTTTTGAAGCATTAAAATTAGTTTTGTTTGTACAATAAAAAGGGGCAAACACTTATGCACCAAACATTAAGGTTCACATCGGAAAATTTGGTCTGCATCTCTTCCTTAGATAAAAAAAGCCAGGGATATATGACTAATGCTCCTTTTCAAAACTCCAAGTGTTTCCAGTGCGAGATAGAAAAGACGATGTTTTTTTCTGTTAAAACTTAGAATATGTGGAGAGGAGCTAATCCTCAATCACAAACTATGTGGCAATAAATTGTAAAACCGGAATGTTTTATAGAGGTAAAAAACTTCTCATATGTTGCCGGCAGGGAGTAAATTTTTTTTAATTATTTCTCTGATAGAACTTTTGTTCTAGTTTTAGATAAAACAGTTAAAGTTCAAAGTCAGACTTTTATCAAAATGTAGTTTTCTTATTCCCCATTTACCAAAATACTTTCAAGAGAACTTTGACCTTCTGCCTGTAGTTGCCGCTTCTAAAACAAGGGTTAGCTAATTGCAGTTTAGACTCAAAGAACAGCGGCGGTGATAGTTGAGAAAAAAAGTATATTATTTGGATCGTATATTATTTGGATCGAAGTTTAAAATAGCTTGATACCCAACAACGAAAACCGCATTGGTAAATTATTAATTATTAAATATATGTTTGACACCTTGTTACGAAAGAGTTCCCATACTCTTTCAATCCAGTATCTGAAAGCAATAATTTCTAAAGGTGCAAAAAGGAATTTAAAAATTATTTTCAAACAGTTATGGAGTAACCAAGCTTGTGAGGTGTTAGGTTTTATAACACCGTTATCGAAATGTTTCTCCTTCGCTATGTTAGTTTTAGTTTAAAGTATCATAAACCGAACAGAACTTTTTTTTTATAATGATTTCACTCAGTTTGGATATTTTCTGCATAAAATATTGAGTATACAAGGCCTGATTTTCTATCGATCACAAATTTAGAATGGTAATTTCATTTTTACTCCATATCTTATGTTAAACTACGGAAATCCTTAGCAGCTTTAAATAAATTTAGAAAGATGAACCTTCCAAAGAGATGAAAAATTTCAATGTTTTGAGGCATTTGTTGACAAAGCGAAAATTTAGTTCAGCCTTTGGAGAGCTTTCATTCTTTTTATTTAATGGAGAGAAAAAAGACATTTTCCGTATTTTTTTCATAAAACCTGAAAAAAGAGAGTAATTTTATCTACTTCAAGGATTCATTAATTTTTCTGCCATTCTTTCTTTTTATTTAACGAGAATAATTTCTTAATAAAAATCTAGACTTTCCATTTCACAGATGAAAGCAATCAAGTAGCATTGTAAAAAACTCAATAGAGTTCATTACTGAGAAATATTAAAATTGCGTTTAGCCAAAACAGAAAGTAATAGATTTTTTTTCTTTTGTCTTCACTGATTTTCTAAAGAGACCTTACTTTGTCGCCAAACTGGAATGACGCAAGACAGTAAAACAATAGACTATTGAAAATACGATTTCAAACTCTAACCTAACAACCTCAAACTGTCCACGAAAATTGCGTCCTTTTTTTTTTGCGAAGTCATACGGAGCTTAAAGCTTGGCATTATGTTTGAACCTTTGATCAGTTCAAAACCAGACCAGTCTCACCAATCAAAATTCTCCCATTTTCCCGGCTTTTTGTCAATCGATAATATTTGGGAATCTCGAATTTAGATAAAAAAAATTAATTTAAAAGACATTCTGCAAAACGTTGATTTTAGTGGTCCTTTTAGCTCAAAAGTTTTCACCGAGCTACTTTTCTTCTAACCTTGGAATACATTACACGATTTCGTGCAAAATGTAAAACAATTATTGCCTGTTATTCGAAGTGTCAGTGCAATGGATTTTATGCTCTGATATCGAAATTAACATCGACCGAGATCATTCTAGGAATATTTTGTCTTTACTTAGGATATCTTTATTTATCACGAGTGAGTCCTGCAATATTACAAAATATAAATCAGCTGTCTAGTTCCTGTCTATCGTAAATCGCTTTTTAATTTTAAAGACAAACAAGGCAAAATGCGAAACTATTGTACAGTTCAGGCATTGTGTATTGTAAAACTATAATTTATGTTCGCATAAAAGTAGACATGCATTTTGTACGGAAATTTAGTGATAAGATTTTCTAAAAATAATTGTTGGAATTTAATAACCTGTTAACGTCGAATTTCACTCTTTTACTGATCCCCATATGAGCTGTGCGAATCTTAGCTAGTTTTCTCATTTTTTTAGGGCGCGATGTGAAAAAGCTGTCGAAGATTCATCTCGAGTCTCTTCCAGTTAAAATCTAGCTCTCGTTTCTCGGAAATCTAACTAATTAAAATCTTATTTGAATAATGCGCAGTTTTAGTTGTAAAGATCTCGAAAAACGTCTGAGCGTTATTTTAAATGACCTGCATATTTTCAACTGTGTGCAGTTGAAATTTTCTTCCAAATGCAATTTATGTGTAAAGAGTAGTTCATGTTCCCTAGTAAAGAAAAGATATCACTCCTTCTCTCTTGTTGCCGACCATGTCATTATAACTTTTAAATTGTGTATTAAATGCAAAAGGCTACTGGTAGCATTGAAGGATAAATAAGAATGTTTTAAAAAGATATTTTGGAAGTTAAATTTTTCTTGGTGTAGAAGGTTTTCAAATTCTCACCTCTATCGTCGCTTGGAAAAGAACCTTTAAAAAAATACAAAATGAAATTAAATTTAACAGCATGACAATGAAGTGGTCACCAAAAAGTTAACAAGAAAATGGCACCAATGATTTTTCGCCTACTACATGATATATATTTGTAAAATTGCTCTTGCTTTAAAATGATAAAGAAACTGATTGAAATATATATAAACGAAATGTGATTAGATTTCGGACTTTGAAAATTAGTGTTGAAAATTAGTGTTCATCTAAGAGCTGATGTGAAACACGATAAAATGAATCTGATCCATGTAAATAAGTCCCTATTGCTGTTGTTTATCTTATTAAGGGTATGACTGAAAATGAAAGATTTTTTTTAATTTCAATGCAAGTTGTCAAGAGGTGGGACGGAGAAAAAGAGTAATAAATCTTCTTAAGATTTGGGAAAGAACGAGACGTCAAAAATGTGCTAGCTGTTAAGCAGCCTAGAAAGATTTTTAAAGTTCTTCTAAACCTATTTCTATAGTTTTCCTTCCAACTGTACGGTAATAAAATGCAAAAGAAAGATGACAAAAATAAAAATATTTCTCCAAAAAACAGAATTGCTTCGTAGATCAGTTCGTTTAAAAAACTTATTCGAAAAGGCAAAAAAAAATTGCATTTCAACAAAAAGGTGTACACGAAATGTTAAAAACCAAAGAATATATATATTAGGAAAAAGAATGGAGAAAATTGGAAGAAGACTCACATGTGATTGCAAATAAGGCGGCAAATATCACTAAACATGTAAGCTTCTCCATGTTGAACGCGGTCTTGTGCCTTGGACTCGTGGTGTTCTCGGTTCTGCGTTCCTTTGGGTTTTATGGTACGGTGTTATGTCACTCAGGTTTTATATTCTCTTGTCAGAGCCATGATTGCAAACAAATATATGATCTATGAATAGAGGGCATTTTTCTATTAGTGTGGTCAAGGAAATTAGTGGAAAAGTGACCCTAGGTTTCAAAATAGTATTAATTTCGCTTTTTCTATCTCCTTTTTCTTTTCATGAACCACCGCTGGGGCATTTGGTTGTATTCTCACGCCATTGGGGGGCCTTTTGTGCAACGTTAAAAGCTCAAAGGAAGTTGGTTTTATTTCTCTTAATTTCAAATCCATTCATAAAGGTATATTTCCATTAGATAGATTCACAAGTGTCTTGAAAAATTGATGATCTTATTAATGATGTGAACGTGGGCAGAATAATTTTATTTTAGAGGTCCAGTTAAACGCTATCAAGATTCTCGGTCGCAAAATTTCTTCCTTATTGGCTCAAGAACTAACTAATTGTGATACATAAAAGCAGATAAGGATTTTTTTATTGATTAGTTACGTCCACAGCATCTCTGACCCTTTTAGAAATCTTCTTTAAATTCCAAAGATATTGCATTCAGGTTGTCCATCTCATGAGTTTATTTACTTAGCTCTAACGTGGTCATAACTTTTCTGTAAGTTAATCTTTATTACATCCTGATATAATTCGACCCCAATGCAGGCGAATTTTTTTTATTATATTCTATGTACAATCACCGCCCCACCGGCAACTCATAAAAATTTCAAGAGCTGCTTTAGTTATCCTCAGATTCGATCTTTTGTTCCGTTTATTAACCGATCCACACTCTGCACAGTCTTAATTAAAAGAATCAGCGCCACGGCGCCGAGAGGGTGAACCCAAACCAACACACCCCCACAAAAAGGCACAACAATAAGATTTGAGCAACAACAATCTATTACAGATACTGACTCGCATGGGCTGACATGTTTATTCATTCACGAAGATCATAAGAGCGGGAAGTCGTTAAAATCCCGTGTCTTAGCCCAGCTTGGAATGTGCAGGTCGCCCTCATTAGAAATTTTCACCGCGCTTAATATAAACTGTATTAAGGGGTGGTTCTGATCATGTTATTTCATTTACAAGTGTCGGTGGATGTGAAAGAAAATAGTCCAATAGAGACAATACGGAAATTAGACCTTAGGAGCTCGTGACAAAGAAGAACAAATAAATATCACAGCTCGCTGTAAGCAAACTTGCTTACTCTTGTATTGAGAGCACTCCCCGAAAAGCACTGAGAAACGAGTGCTACAGATCCAACGCAAAAACTTTGTGTAGCAAAAGTCTTGTCCAAAATAAACCTTTATCAACCGATAAGCGAGATTTTGGATTCTAGATCACCGGTCTAAAAAAATATGGGATTTTATGAGTGACAAGGAAGATGAAGGTAGATTCCAAAAAATATATATTCCGAAATAAATGCCTGACTATTTAATTTTTCTGATACGACGAATTGATTCGCTCTTTCCTTTTGTCAGGATGATTGTTGAGATTTAAAACCCTTACATTGCTCGGTGAAAATCGTCGCATTTTTTTCCCTTGATGAGTTCCATTATTAAGGAAAGTACATTGCCATTAGTACATCGGAAAAACCTTAGAGTTATGGAACGAAAAAGTCAGGCTCATTTCGTCAGTGATCATAATTAAAAAGGATTTTTTTCCATCAAGTAAATGCATCAGTCAAAAGTAAATGACTCAATATACTGATTATTTTTAGTGATTATTTTTTCAAAGAAATTTCTCGACTCGTAAATCCTTGCACGACAATAGCCTCATGACAAAGCTGTAAAAATGCTGGATGATAAATTTCCGCTTCACATACGTCAGTAAGACTGGGTTTATTCAACCAAAAAAGAAAATATCTGTAAACATCGATTGTGTTCGAGATGACTGCAAATAAACCACAACAAACAGGCCCATTGTTACTTACGCAGGTGCAAGGATAACGAACAAGATCGCCTCGTGATAATCCCTTAAACAATGTACCACGTTAGACGAGAGCCTTCTTTACCGAAGAAAAACCGTCTTTATTTATACCAAATAAAGACTTTTCAATCGGAAGAATTAGAGACAAACGAAGCTCTAAAAACCAAAACATTGCTTGGAAGGTCAAACCTAAGGGTTTGTTTTCGCCAATTGGGGCTTGCCTTAGGTGACTTAATGAAAAAGCACTTGCGAGTTCTCAAACGAAAATTGTTCTGACCTGAGAGAGAGCCAAACACTTTTGCGATTGCGAATCAGGGATAAATATCGTGTATTGGGGAGATGAAATCAAGCCGCACCAGAAAATTACTCTATTGAAAATTTTTCCAAAAACAGATTTCTAATAAATTATTAATCGGTGATATCAAATCGCCAAGTTTCTTAGGGAAATGTTTGGCGAATGTCTAGGTAAACTTGTAAAACTTAAGAAAGTACCCTAACGTTGTGTTCTCAGTTAATTCTAAACCAATATGATCGGAATTAGTTTTAACATTTTGGTTGAAAGCCTTTCAACACCAGCGCTTCCAAAAGTAATGAGTTCCCTCTTAGTTTTTATAGCGAAAATTTCTAAATTGCAAAAAAAAAAAGAAATGAATACTCTTTTAAGGCTTGAAGGTCTCTTTTAAGGCTTGAAGGTAATCTGTTGTCGTTGTATAAAAATCTAACTCAAATTAATCGTTTCTTGGACAAAGTTCTTGATATTCGATTTACGTTTTCTTTTCTAAGTCATCCTCCTTTTCTTATGTTGTCGTTACGGGGTAATTCTTAATTTAATCCTAACGATAATACATGATTTTATTTCTAAGTTTTTGAGAGGCAGAGCTGGGGTTTCAGTATTTGATTGTTATAGGTATAGTCTATATTGGGTACTCGTGTCGTGATCTTTGTGAAGGTATTTTCAAAAAGACATTTCAAGATCAAAACAGGGAAAAATATTTTGCAAAAATAATGCAAGTATTACATATATTTCACGCATTGCTATTATTTAGCTTAAGTTGAAAAATAGTTTGTTTGATTCATAAAAGTTCTGACAAAGAAAATGAAAACATTGCTTATTTAGATAACAGGCTACTGCAGAGCTACCTACTTGGAAATGAAACTGCTTACTTACTGATCTCTTTGCCCAATTTAATTGAAATTGTAATTCCCAGCAGCCTTCAAATGAGATTCCAATTTTCTGTTTTTTCTTTCAAGAAAATATCAAGTTTAGTGCATCATAAAAAAGATCATTTTTTCGCTTACCAAGGTAGTTTCACGTTCTACTCCGCAAAGAACAGTAAAGGATTCGATCAATCCTCCACAAAAAGTGCTTGGCTCTTGTAGTCAAGGAGCAATGGCGGCTCGAATGCTACTAAAAGAATCTTAATCGTATTCAAAATACAAATTGCTCCTCCCTTGCAACGCTGTTAAGCAAATTACAGACGCCCTGCGAGGTCGAGCTTTATCTTCATTTCCTCGATAACCGATTCTTTTGAATGCCGGCGACACTTTCAGGCTGCCAACAACAACTTGTTAAAATCTTCAGTGAGGGAGGACAAAAGGAGTCAGGTTTGCCTTCTTTGCATATTAATATTTGCATACTTCATTAAAGTCATTCATACGTTGGTCGAAGTACAGAACGTTGAGGGATGAGGAATTTCAGCTGTAAATGATGAAGCAATTAAATCATCTGGACTACTGTTACGATGACAAATTTGCGGTGATATCAAAGACGAAAAGGTTGCAAATTGAAAAGTTACCATTTTATCCTTTAAATAGCCCGTAATTTATATACACCACCATGGTTCGTTAAAAGCACAGCAGAGATGTAGAAAGCTTTGTGACTTATGATATACCATAAAATTAAGGAGCAGAGGGTGCATTTCGTCTTTTTAAGAGTATATCATCGTGCAAATTGACCCTTCTGGCGGAGGAAGAAACCGTTTTCGTATCAACTCGCGGGAAGAATCCTCAAAGTTTCACAGCGGCACTCCTCATGACTAAGATAAAAAAGATAAATAAAATAAAGTCAAGATCTTAAAAAGGATTTTCGTTAATTCGTTTGGACTTTGCATAGAAGATTATCACCTGGCATAAATCGTCAAAACGATGTTGTTGAAGGTGATAACTTTATATAACATCAGAACTGAAAAATGTAATCGAACTGTTTAACAAACATCTCTCCTTAGCGGTGAAGCTTTAACGAATCCTTTTTGCTCCCTCGACTGTTTTAGGCTTTGTCAAATTAACCACTAAAGGGCGTGTTTTCATGCTTATTTTAGCTGAATATTGGGAGGAAATAAACCTTGGTATAATTTAAGCTTAACAAAAATGAAACGTTATGTGCAAACAAATTTGTCATAAATAGCAGATGAAAAAAATATATATCAGGCAACTTACAACTGATCTGACAAAATTTTGCTTAGGATATTGGTTTAATTTGAATATTAGTATATTTTCTTTTTGCATAGCAGTGATTTAGCTATGAATTCATCTCAGTAGGCCCTGTATTCAATCGATATGACTTAAGTTATAGTTACTCGAGGTTTTATTTCGCTTTAACGTTACTGAAAGGAAAATAAATTTTTAATTCACTCTAGTCGGCATCAGTTGATACGGCATCATATCACTTTGCCTTCTCTCTTTTTCATTAGAGATAATTATTTTAGGAAAAAAACCAAAGGGACATTTCATGGCAATTTCTGCAAAATAATATAATATATTTTTTCAACAATCATGCATGATATGGCTATCCAAAAATATACTCATTTACAATACTGTTTATCAGAACTTTGCATCTAAATTGTTTTACGCATCTTCCGCTGCATCTTATCTCGATGAATTCGGTAAAATCCTCATCAAGCAGGTTATAATTATTCCATACCATTTACAAATTTACTGACGCCAGCAACTGTAAAGTATTAGCAAAAGCTTCCGTTATCGATTCCGATTTAGCAGAGCTGTACATGTAGATATAAAGTTTTACTGTACAGTAAAGGTAATCTTAAAAACTTCAGTGCAATTGCTTGTACCTTCTCGCCCTGTTTTCAGGTAGGTGTCTAGAAGAAATTTAGCAAGAGTGATAGGGCTCCTGAAAGGAAGCTACTTCACAGTTCATGCTTCACCGGATTTAATCGAGGTATTTGAACATTGTAATTTAAGTTTGTGCTTACCTTATTGAGCTCTTTAAAGCATTTGATAACAGGAAGTCTTATGTAGCCACTTTCCCTTGAAAACAAGGGAACTAGCCATTGATTTCTTTAACAATCAGACCGACAACGTTTTTTTTTTAACTACCCGCATACAGGTGCTCAGAGATGCTAAGAATCTTTTCATCCCTGGGTCAGTTCTCTTGCAAAGAACTAGTTTGAAAGCATCCACTTTCAAAGAGTAACTAATCAATAGGGATGAAACAATAGAACCCAATTCGCTAGACATCTCTAAAAATTTTTTAGAATGGTTAACGTTTATAGGGCGATGCGTGTTCGCCTGACCTTTTGTTATGGAGAGGACTAGCAGTATGCAGTCAAAACATTAATTGCAGTCCACATCGGAAGTGATTGCATTGTGAGAAAAAAAGATTACACCTGAACAGTACAAGCGTTTTCACTTTGTTTTGTAATTGCAACTTTTTTCACAGTATCAAGCAAATTACATGTTAGATCGAGACTTTTTGCTGCCACCGCAGCACATTTCATATAAATCACCAACAACAAATACTATACCAACCTCCATGAATAAATCGTCTCTTACCGATGATCTCTTGTATCGAACTCATCAGCAGCTTTTTATGTTGCCACACAAGGAGAAAACACACCTACTCGATATGATAGATTAAAGAGGTTCATAAACTAAAACCGTCCGCCGGAAAGTCTTTATCTTGTATCTCGATTTACTTATTTGTTCATCAATCTATTCAGTATAGCTTTTACTACGTGGTAAATAACACTAACAACACGAACAGCTCACGTTTTCACTAATAACGGGGAAAAAACATGTGGAGAGGATCCACACCTCTTAACCAGCGATATCTTTGTATTTTGGGCCATCAAAAGCTGCTATCATGGCTATTAAAATAAGCCAGGGAATAATAACAACATTCAAAATGGTTCGCACAATTACCCAAACCGATAAGAGAAAAAGGGCGGATCCTCTCTTGCACCGAATGTAGAGGCAGAAATTGAAAATTCTTTGGAGTTACATCACCTTAAGTAGAAAAAGAAGAATTGAAAATAAAATTCTATGAAATTTCCGAATGTGATTTGAATTTTATCCCTTGATGCTGAGATCTCTCACCCCAGAACTCTCGCGCCACTCGCTCCACACCTTACACGTGTACATGTTTTCAGAATGGCCGCCCTCAAACAAACGCACTTCTTGCTAAGTAAGTCAATTCTTCCTCAAATGGAAGAAAAGGTTAAGATAAATGGATTGCAACATCTAAAGTTGAAACTAAAGGAAGAGAAGATCTGCCAGTTAGAAATGACATATCTTACGTTATTATAACAATACCAAGAAGTTTGCCCTATTAGCCTACATTGCTTTAATACTATGAGAGTTGACAATGTTTTGTTCATATAAATCTGTTCTCTCCCCAGCCAGACCTGTGGGTACATGCATCTTAGTTGTCGGTCCTTGTCTGAGCGACAGAATGGTGTAATACTACTAAACTTGGGGTACTACAGGTTTTATTGTGCAGCCTCGTTCCCAGGGGTTTTTCCCTTAGTCAGCTAAGGGAAAAGGCCCTGGGAACGAGGTTGTTTCCTGTGGTGAAATATTTCTTAAACAAAGTCTGATACTCCCAGGTCTTATTGAAACATTTTTGGATCTGCCCCATCGGTTGGCCATGTCAGTTGTTAACTAACTATTCAGATAACAAAATTCCTATTTTTGTTTTATTTTTGCGTTATTGTCAGTCACCTGCCGCAACAAGTTTAGCAAGTGTTGAAATATTTTGAAATGTGGCCTTTGGACCGTTTCAGCTGGGAGGGGGACAGCGTTGTTATTATAGCCAGGACGTGATCTACGATTGATGGTTGTTTCTGGTTGATTAAAATTCTAAATGTGATGCACAGATGAATAATCATAAGTTACCTCTGACCATTAAAAAGAAGAAAATGATGTTGGATGAATATCCTAAGGCTGGTAAACAAACCCTCCAGGGCTCAAAGAATTATATATATATAAATACAGTAGACATAGCATGGTGGATGATGAATATTAGGTAATGTGAAGTTCACTACTACTACTACTACTACTACTGACGCGACAGATTGTCGACTAGTATATACAACGCGTCTAAAATAGAGCTTTTCGTGTGCGCTGATTGGCGAACGCTCCAGGTTTTAAAAAAAACTTAATCTTCGTAGACAAAGGATGGTGGACATAGTGATGTGCGGTTGACAGATGCATCTTATGGCTTATGTTTTACTGATTCGTTGAGGTTGGGGTTTCCTGGCCATGGACGGTTATGGTCATCTCTTGTTTCATTCTCTGTATCTCCATTGCAATTGAATTTTTGAGTCTCTCTTCCAAATTGTTTACATATTGCAACATGTCGGCCACGTTCCTGTTCTGGGGATTCTCAGATATGTCATTACGGTGTGGAAAATCTACAAATATATGTAAACTTCAAATATTTTTGCCGCTCACAAATCTATGTAAATCAGACATAAATGATCCCGGGCTTGAATGAGCTGTAAAAGTAGTTACATCATAATCACAGTACTTTCAAAGAAAAAAACAATCTAGGATCAAGAATCAGGCAGATTGAAAAGGAACTTGGACATATTGATATTAAATAATTCAAGAGTCACAAAACGTGGACTTTTACATTTTTGTTCTTTGCCACTAACGTGTAAGCAAGTTTCAAAAATTATCTTTTATCTCGTCATTAAAATTTGCACCCATTTGCTCATGGACATGTTAGACATGCCTATTGTATGACGTTGGCTTGCTGCAGAACGTCAAAATGCTCAATCTCGCAAGATGTGGTAAGCTAATATCTAAAGAAGGAGCTTTTTCCTCTGGTTAGGAAAAAAATACTGTATCAGTATCAGCCTCTATAGATCATCATCATACCTTCTGTTGTTGCGTTCACCCTTCCCTGATTACACTTGGTGAAGACTTGACATAGGATACTTATTTTCGGGACCTTATTCAGAAAAACAGTGGCAACTTTGCTGAACTTTGGAAAACACTTAACGAAGTCACATCTCGCAAAAATTTTTCTCCTTTATCGTGTATTGAATCTGAAGGAGTTGTTACCTCTGACCCCAAAACGATTTCTGAGATTTTAAACGACCACTTCTCTACTGTTGGCTCAAAGCTCGCGACCAAATTTTTTCTC